AAGCAGAAGTTTTACGCTAGCAAATGCCCCTTCACTATTTTCATTGTGAAGATAAAGGGTAGTAGATGTAGCGGCTACTGGCGCTCTGTCTTCACATATGATCCGCACTTCGAAGGCTGGATCGATACTCGCCCAGACCGACCGGACCTTCCATCCCTCCGGGGTCCGTTATTTGGAACCAGATTCGTCTGGGATGATAAAAGCATTGACTTGTACATCGTCTAGTCACCGCAATCTTTGTGTAGACTATATACGCATTCAAAACGTCACTACAATTCTGAATAGAAGTCGAATGTGGGGCGTATCCCAAAACTATAATCGTGCGTTCATACGCCAGGTGTGGGAAGGATCGGGCAAAGTGCAAGCCCGTTCTCCCAACCTACCCCTCGCCGCTACTGCTGTCAATCCAATGAAATACCACTTTTTCTAATAGAAGATTATTTATGTATTGTGTGTTCCTTTCGATATTGAGGATCTATGAGATTCCGCCATAAGCCGAGAATCTCGGTCAGGCTCGTTTTTCTCTGAGACAAAACCTTTGATACGGCGATCAGACGGTGTTGAGACATGCACGGATTGCTTGGTTCCCATATTCCCGCAGTTTTACGACCCCTATTCCTAGTTTGGCGTTGTCATGCTTCTTTAACTTCCCTGTGGTCTTCTGAATAATTACAAGGGTAAATGATAGAAGGGGAAGATAACACAAGATCCTTACTACCATATAGTCATCACATTTACCAGAAAAAAAAGCATAAAGTAAATTGTAACATTTTCACGTTGCCAGTATTTTTCAGGACCAGGGAGAAACATTTTGTTGAATAAAGAAGTCGAAAAAATTAAAAAAATAAGATCGATCACTCTTGGGGGCCCATAATTCATGATATACGCCAAATTCCTTCCTTAGTTCGATTGAAATTAATTCATATTTGACTTTTTTCACTAAGTTCAATGAGAAGCTACATAGGAAAAAAATTTCACCAAGTTCACACCAATTTCACTAATGAGAAGACTGAGAAACTTACTTTTTTCTAGACGAATTTCGAGCCGGAATTCGACCACTCCACTATGCGTATGTGAGCCGTTGCTTTTGTACTCCCAGTCGAGTCTGGTACGAACTGACCAATTTCAGAGTAATAGAGGGCTTGGGTGGCCCGGACGGGTAACATTATCGGGTTCGATGCCCGGGCCAGTATGTGTGATAGAGCTTCCCTTGCTACTATACTACATACCTCCGCACCTGAGCTGAGCTCAGTCATTATACTCGAATGGTCTATAAGTTGTTGCTGTTGATACTCAGTGGTTACAGAAGTCGACAGCACCAATTAGACCTATTTTCATTTTTACGGATTTTTCAAATCTCAGAATTTTGCCGGCCAGGACGACTGCAAGGTTTCAGTGTTTGGTCTGAGCATATGGCGTGCTGCCGAAAGCTTGCCGGAACACAGGTCAATTAATTCCGGGGAGTGATTTAGTGTTCTTTCTTCAAATGCAGCGTTCGTGTTCAGGGGAAGTCGGAAAGGGAGGGTTATTAATTTATCCCAGTCATTGTCAATGTAACCCCTCCACATGTCACGTTCTTCATCCTGCCTCCGAAGCGAGCTAGACAAGCAGAGAGAGATGGGTTAAGATCGACGGAGCAAAGGGAGTATATTAATGGGCAAGTGATCTGCCGTGAGCCATAAGAATAACTAATGTCTTGGATATTAATAGTTGAGGACTAACATGTGCTGGCTGCTTTATTCGATCTGTAGACCATTCTGTCGTTTTCTTGTGAATATCAGCACTAGGGGTGATCAGGAATAGTTCCTATGGCGAAGTTGGGTAGTATGGAGTCGTTCTGAACCAGTCAAACAATGCTGTGTAGTTGGCACTCATCTGAGGGAACGCAGATGATAAGCCATTCCGGTCGTTTCGATTCGCTCTTGTCATTAATTGTGTCTCCCATACATATAATTAGTTCCGCAGTCACGAGAAATTCCGAAGATATGGCGCATTCGAAGCGATTGATGTACAATCTGCATATAATCAGGTATCAATTATCGTCCATTATCGGCCATGACGATCAAGATATTACGCAGTTCTATTCAGCTATATAGCCGTGGAAACCAGTTTTGTTCGCTCATATCCCGTTCGTCGAGAAACGGTGATTAGTCCTCATTGCTGAACTGCAAAGCATCTATCATACTTTCGGTTATTACCAGTGATTCACGAATCCTGTTTCCCACTTGCCATATGTTTGATAGTCTGCCTTCCCTTCATCGCCACCAGAAGTTAGTTACAGGCTTCTCAGATCAGATGCCTTATGTCGTCACAAACCCATTCCTAGCCAGCTTTCGGCACATTCTTTCAGAAAACCTTCTTCTCGTCCGCCCACTTCTTCCCCACTCCTTCCCCCACCCCCCACCCCTCCCTCCTCCTCTGATATAGGCTCGAAAAGAACTCATTTCAGAAAATCACTCCTCCTGAAGTTCGAGGTACCAGCTCGGGCCAACTTCTTCGCGAGTGCGCTTTGTAGTTGACTTCCATTCGGAATTGTTGTATGGTTTGAATGGTTGCCTGACGAGCCCAGTGGACAGGAGGGCTCCCCGAATATTCATTACGGCGTCTTTCCTGCGAATTGTTTTGTTAGGTATCTAACACATCCGGCCAAAGCATGTATCATAGGAAGACTTGCGGCAGGATCTCAATCAAGTCCTGCTCAAGACATGGTTCGTCTTAAGCAGAGCTCGACTGAGAACCTACTTCAACTATACCTATGATGTCACTTCGACCTTCTACGTCGGCAATTTGCTTCTGAGACGAAAATAGCTGTTTTTGTTTACTCCGCTGACGTCCAATTATGCATGGGTAGTCAAAAAAAGGAGGAGTGAGGATTCAAAATATTTTTTATTTCGATTCTTGCAGTCGGTCGATTGCTAGACGCTGTGCAAGCAAAGTAAACAGTTTTGCTTTCAGTTTCTTGTGATCCTGCTCAACTTTCCCACCCAAATACTCATTTTTGCACGGGGCTGCAGCGGACTTTTTTTCTAACTCTACTGTGGGGAACATGTTGTATTAGGTTAGAAGAGTGATCATGTCATATGCTGCAGTTTGAGTCTGAAGTGAGTTCAAGCCGAACCTGCCTGTTAGAAGCGTGCACGATATTTTGATTAAGACGTTCTTTAATGGGCAAACATGGAAATATGGCTGTACTACACTTATGCAGATCAAGCTAAAATCTTTACCCAATCTAACCGGCTCTTCTAATCCTCCAGGAGGGCTTGCAAGATGTGCAGGTTACTCTTGAGTTGAAGACACTGTTTCGGAGCAGAGAGAGGACAATAGGGGCTGAAATGGCAGGTGGCGACATATCAGTAAGCATAGTTGGGGCATCAAATTCCGGATCATTGCTCACTAGAATTAGCCGAGAATTTCATCCCTCCGGTTCGTTTGATTGATAACAAACTCGTCCGGGAGGATAAAAACACTGACTTGTACACCAGCTGGCCACCGCAAGTCATTGTGATATAATGACAGATACGTCTTCAAACCGCCACAACGATTCTGGATGGAAGACGGATGCGGGGCGCATCCTTAAGGGGATTGATCAACCCCGGTAAGGATGCTCCCCGCATCCGACTTCCATTCAAAAATCGCTGGATAGTTGTTGATGACATATAGTAGTATTTAATTTGCACAATCTACGAGGAGAGTCGGTTATTTTTTTTGCGTTGATGATGTAGTGTTTGTCCTCGCACGANTCCACTTCTTTGGAGAGAGACTTCTGACCGCGAGGATCCTCCATGGAAAGATCCAACGGAGGTCAGACTGCTGTTTGGGTCGCTGGTATCACTACGCTACTTATTTTTCTGTCACTATGTACTTTTCCGCCGTTTTGGCAGAGCCGTATCTCTCGACCTAACTCAGTCGCATACCACCGTAATCCTATCTTGATAATCTTGCTGGAGGCTGGGGTCACCCACTCGTTTTATCCTTTTCAAGGCCGGACTCTTCGCTACGAATCTACGCAGAACTAACTTTGGCACATTGCGCTTTGGCATCACTCGTTTCGGAATCTTCTTTATCAAAAAAACACTCAAAGCCCTATTGCGGCAAAGGCATGACTTTTACACTTTTATTGTCTTTATATGGGTTATGCTTTCCTCCATCATAAGGTCGCCATGAACGAGGCAAATCTCGTACCATTTTATTCATATTCGTTCCTTATGTCGTGCTTATACTTCGTAGTTAAGTTTTATGCCTAATATTCGATTTTGTAAGGTTACTAGAGCTGCCAGGCTCATAAAGTCTCGTAGTGAAGTCTCGTGTGCCTGGCGTTCACTCATTCCACTCGTTCGGTTTTCCTAGAAACGCCTATTGTTAATACTTTTAGATGTTTTTAATCGATGTTGGGTGGTTCCTTATTCATTCGCTAAAAGTGATGAACGATAATCAGTGATACTCTTTCATGTATAATATATCACTGCTGCCACATTTCAAACCCTCACTCTCGTTTCAGTCTTCAACGTACTTTTGTCGAAACCTATTCTAAGTAACAGTAACATTCAAAGTAACATTCATTATCCTCAAGTTTTTTGAATATTTCCATTTCCGCGAGCTCCCACTTTAGCACTAATACTTTTAAGACCTCGATATTTACTCAAATCTCCATTTGACTAGTCATCCTTTTTTTCGGAAACTAGTGGTCCTGTCCCTAAATCATGCCGATCGCTCGGTAATAGCGATGAGATCATCGATGAGTCGACAGTTCAAGTGCTGGCATTCAAAAATAACCGATTATTTGTTGTGTCCGAGTATCGTTTTCAATGGTCATTTGAACATAATGACATGGTGTTCGTGTAGCATTGTAACAACAGCCGCCATCGTCGTCGTTGACCGCGTGCGCGTCACAAACGACTTTGTTCCTTCGGAAGTGCAAATTTCAGGCTACTCACTGCCGGCGAGTGACCAGTTCCGGAACAGTTCAGTTTCGGCTGGACGCGGCTTCTTCTACGGCTAAAATGTTTATACCACCACAATTACTCGAACAACTTCCTCTGCTTGCTATATTCGTTATCCCCGTTACTGGAGCTTATTTTGGTCTACGAACTGTCAACATGAAAAGCGCCATTCATTTTCAACAGGTAATCAGTTTTGAACTTTGCACGATACTTTATTGAATATTCGATGGTTCACAGTTCGTGGTTCAGTTTACACCCCACAGGGCTAAAAGGTAAAGAAAATGGGACTATTTATTACCATTCTAAGTCTCCCACGGTGTATCGGTTTTCTTGGAGCTAACCGTAACCTGACTTTCGGGGTACATCAAATGTTAACTGCACAGGGTTTATAAATTTGGTTAAAATCTTTCACCGCAAGTTTTAATCGAACTCTTCTCTATTCACCAAGCATTTCTCTTTTCCAACTCCTCTTCCTTGCCCATTCGTAAAAGCTACTCCAGAAGATAGAGAAGTTGGCCTAGCTGTCCTAGGATTGAGTGGTCTAATAGTCCTGGTCTTGAACTTTGTGCAATCACAACTTCCAGAGGTGGTAAAGGTTCCTTCCCGAACACGAAAGCATAGTTTTGACTCTTATTCTCGAACTTCTAAAACTGGGAAGAACTGATGCGATCCTAGAATTTCCGGATCTCAGAGTATCGCTCACACGATCCATAGATGTGATTTTTAGGGCACTAAAGGATCATCAGCATGGCGAGCAGCTGTAACAATGAGTATTCTTACTATTCCAACATTTACATTTTGGTAAGTTCTTTGGAATACGACCTTTTCCACAAGTTACATTTCACGATAAAAATTGTTTCTAAGATTTCTGTCTAGAATGACACCAGGGACAACACAAGGAAGCCTTCGCATCAAAAAGCAACCCTGATAGGGCGTAATAAGGGCCCCGGAAATTGGCTGAGGCGACGTACACACCCAAAGGCGGACGAGTTCTCACGGCGCGTTGTGAATGCTGCAGAAGTTGCACCATTAGTGCCAGCATTTACAGTTCACCCAGGCAGCTTATACTTCGTGGCCTGCACCGGACTGCTCACTGTGGACGCTTTTACTTAGCGATGATCTCATTCTCTATAATGTCATGACTGTGCGACTGTAGAAGAAGCTCCCCTAGGACGGCTAATAAATTCACTAGACCGTCTACAACTACTTCACTACTTAGACAGAAAACCCTATTAGCGCTATAACATGCATGTACTCATTTGTAAAATTTGAAAATAAAACTGTAATTTGTAATCATTTTGTAAAAATTTTGCAAAAACCATTTCCTATTGAAGTTTTGGCTGAGCACTCAAATCACACTGCAAAACCTTTTGATATATGGGTTCCCTCTTCAATAACAGCTGGTGGAAATTGGCCGACCTTCTAATTGCTGACCGCTTTGCAGAAACCCTTTTTTCAGCGACTTCCGTTTCGTGCTGAAAAAAAAANAAAAAAAAACTTGTTTCATTTGTTTCCAGGTGCCTACTTATGCGTGGACCAGCTGCTCTAGCCTATCAGATTGGTTTCTCATTAGCCATTGTGGTGGTATTTTCGACTGTGGCCGGAATTCTTCACTATGTACCGTCGCCGAGTTTATTCATCTACCTACAACTACGTTACCTTTCTTCGACATGTCAGTATTATTTCAAATAATCCGAGGTCTATTCGGCCAAATGGCTGGAGACGTAGTCTATATTTGTACGGCCATTCTAGCAAGGGAGTTCTTTACACCGGGGCGGGCACTTAGAGGGGTCCAAGAGCCTCGGAAGAGACTAAAGTTTCATTGTTGTGAGCAGAGGCGTAATGCATGGCGCATCTTAAGAAGACAATCCGTGACCGCTTCATCCTCCGCTGATAATTTCCTTTGAATCAGTAGGTCCCGTGCTCAAAGTATCTGTTGCGTCTGATGAGGGAGTGTGGGGAGCTACCCAGCCCATTGGGTCCATTTCTGCCCAGAACAGATGCACTTTCCAGAAATTTCTTCTGCAGCCTCAACGAAAATATATAGCTGTAGTAGAGAGCCGGCCAACAATGGCCTCACAAAAAACTACCAAAAAAACTGCAAAATGGGGCTCATTTTTTGTTAATGGATTTGGGGTGCTCACCATTTCCTGTTTTTTTTTGCACGCCATCGTGAGGAACCTTCTTTGAATCCTTTTTCCTCCGTATCTCTGGTGGGAAGGCATCACCTCAGTTGGTAGAATGGAATATTTTACGAGGGAGATTCCTGCGGCGATGAATCTTCTCGATTTTGAGCACCGAGTACCTGCAGAGATAGACATTGCAGTCAAATAGACACTTCAGAAGCACGACTAACTTGCAGGAGAAGTTTATTGAACCCTTCTATGCAATTTGGTTCGTTTTTTTGTTTGTCTGCTGCATTTTGCCTTGGACCGCGATTCGAGCGTCCAATACGGATTGTGGCAAAAATTTGGGCCCCGAACGGGACCCGACCCTCCCAGAACTAGCGCTTTTTGAGCACTTTTTTCATTACACTACCGAGAACCTTCTTGTACTACTTAAGCTTCCTTGTAAAGGTTCCTCAATGAAATTCATCGTACGAGCTCCAAGCCAATAAGGCTGAGGAGACCAATGTTATGGGCCATGAGCAACTATACAGAGCTCGAGCTAGTTTCGTGTAGATAGTTACAGAAATATGTATATATATATATCATCTAAAGTATTGCGTTTGTATTTTATTAAGAATGATTGTTTCAGTGAGACTGGTACTATCAGCCCTTCAAACGGTCGTGACAGTGCTTTGTATCATACTTGTGCTATTGCATTCCTCGTCGTTACTCGCCTCCGTTTCGTTGTTTTCCGTCTGCCTCTGTGTAGCACTGATGGCGTTTTTCCCATTATTTGGCATAGTATTCGCCGGTTATTCCAGCATCATGACATTCACGCTCATCTTAAATATGTTTGTGAGTTTTCATACAATTTTTATTCAATTACAATCACATTTACAATTACAATTCTATCAAACGCACCCGATTCCTAATTTATTTGAAACATCTATGCGATAGGTAAAGTGTTTTTGTGCTGTGATTGTGAAAACGAGAGTTTTTAAATGGTTTTCTGAGGAGGAGGGAGGAAAGAACGTGCAGATTCTTGAGTTCGTAAAGTGAAGTGGCCATGGTAATTGTAGCAGCCAAACTCTCCAAAAATAACTGACTGTTGCTGGCAATGAAAAATTTAGCAACCCCGATTAAACCGCACTAGATTATTACGGATTCAAAGGCACAGTTCACGATAATTTTGAGGTACTCGTTTTTATTCGAAAAGCGGAAGTATAGCTTGGGAATGGTTCATCATTAGTGAAGAAGAGAATTCGCCGATTTCGAGAAAAATATAGTATAGAAAATAGAGGTTGGACGAGATTGAATTGACGGAAATAACATGGAAGCGGTATTCGGACGAGATTTCAACCGTTGTTATGGCGCAAAGAGCTGACTACATCAAGCCAGAACTGTACAGAACTGTCTTTCACTGTCTCTACGGGTCATGACAAGTTGTTTGAACTTCCTACATGGGTTCTCTTGTGATCGATGCAGCCTCTACAATGCCGGTGAAACTCGTCCAAGGATACACACGGGCCAATCTTTGAGTCTTCATAACTCCCTAACTAGATCGTTTTCCGACCTAATAGTGCCAGATATGGTATAGGGGGGGGGGCTCGAATTCACCCTGTGGGGGAACCTCAGAAACCATTTTCATCGTGAACTGTGTCCTTAACTCTCTCGAATTCTGAGTAACCCGAAATTTTACCACTCTCCTTTGGTAATTGTCAACGGCTATGAAGTGTCGAGGTATTTTCTGTGAAAATGGACCGAAATTGAGTCAATGCAACTGTTAAGCTATTTTCAGTGTATACTCTTCGGTGCTGGTGCATTACTTATATTTGGAATAAAAGATGTCACATCGTTTCGTGATATTGTACCATTCGAATTTTCATTTTCCGATAGCGCTATATCACTTGGTGTCGGATTTGTCGTTTCCCTTTATCAGCTCACTTCAAGTCCTCTTCTCTATCAGGTCACGAACTTTTGAGCGTTTGGTTGGCTTGTCTGTGAAGATTGCGAATTTCTCGAATGAACTGCCCTAATCAGATTTACATTTCAGGCATATTTTCCTATTCCAACACTCTACAAACTGCGGCTCACATTGGCATTCCATGGCGTTTTTCAACTCTTCTCGTCTATTCTGGTTTTCTTAACGATTTCGCTTTTCTTTGCTTTTGTGGAGAAGCGATGCGCTTTGTCGTATTCCTACAAGACATTTTTATTATTCGCTAAAGTGAGTACTTTCCAAAATCCAATATACTAGTTTTTCCGATTTTTTTCCACCAACTTTTGATGTGAAAAGAGCATTCAAAGTTCAACCGAGCAGTAAAGTAATTGCGGTACTCTAGTTAGGTACTTTTGAGTTTGTGGAGACCGTAGTATGGTATTGCGGTATTACGGTACGGTACTAGAAGCTGCTATCGATGAAATCCACCATTTCCTCAGAATGATGGGTCTATGTACCACTTCCTCAGAATGATGGGTCTAGCCAAACCTCCTTTACTTCTCTATGTCCTTCTCCTTCAGCGGATTCTCTCTCCATCATTTTGTCTCAAATGTTCTTCTCATGTGCTCTCATTCCCAAGAAGAAACGCTGTGAATGGGAACGAGACGTTTTCTGTAGAAGCAAATAAACGCCACGAGATCTTCCATCTCTTTTTTGTCTGATTGAACACCTTAAACTCGTTCAAGGGAAAACTACTGTATGTGAAGAATATTAAGGGGAAAAGCCGCCCGGATCTAAATGCCCGGATGAAATGGGTCTGGGTGCCTGTGCATCAGTAGGGCCTTGTTCTCAGAAGCAGTTTCTTGAATTTGCTTGATGATTTATGGAGAAATTTACGAAAAGCTTCTCGCATTCTAGCGTCCTTGTGACCTTCAGGGCCTCTGTGGTTCTCCTGTAACGATACAAGCCAAGATGGCAAGTTGTACCGATAACTCAGCCGTGGTGGCTATGTGGCAATGCTTAGCCATCTTGAGGTCTCTGTAAACTTGCCTTTGTACTTTTTTAAGATAATTTTGAAATATGCTTCAAGGTCGTTAATCCATCACTATCTGCAATCATTTTGCTTCAGAGAGGGCTCTGACCTATTTTCACAATCTTGCCTAGTCGTCCCATCCATTAAGTGACCGCCTATCTATCATCGGAGCTATTTTTCGGTTGTAATTTTTCTTTTGTTCACTGAAAAAGGTTAACAAAGGAAAAAGACGAAGTGGAATTGATTGGAGGGGGGGGGGGGGGGGGGGGG